ATGGAGAGGGTAGAGATGGTATATAAAAAGAGAGGAACATAAAATACAAAGGAAAACCCTAAAAGGGACCATGGAAAGCCCAAAAACAAAGGGTTTCCATGGAAGAAAGACGCACCAAACTAGGAAGGGGAAAGAGATCAAAATAGCGTCTCAAAGCCCCTCGTTAGCTGGTTCTTCGAAATGCACTAAGACAGACAAACAAACATAAAATCAAGAACCCTAACAAAGATTCCATCTTTATGATGCCTAAACCATTGGATTGGTCTTCCAAAAACATGCGACCATGTCGGACTGCTACCCCCGACAGATCCAATGGACTAAAAATTCGTAGAAGAAGAAGAAGAAATCTAAATTTTCAATCTTGATCTTTCCATAAGAACAGCTTCATCGGAGCGGAGGAAGACGATGACGAAGCCGATTCAGAATTCTCTACCTTGTTCTGATTATCATCGGAGTCCTTAATCTGTGGCTGATTTGATGAACCAAAAGGGAATTGTGATTGAAGAACCAAATTGTTTGTTGGGTCTAAATGATCCCAAACAGCGCTTCCCGGACCCCACCCTGCCGGAATTGCATTAAACCAAGCCTCTTCCATTTCTCCCCAAACCATCTCCGGCGCCTCCGATGCGCCAACGCTCTCCGTCAACAGCTCATCCGGTTTCTCTTCCTCCGACGGCGGAAGAACGACAGCGCTGTCTTCATGAGCCTCCTCTGTAATTGGATTAGTGTGCTCTGTTTTCGTCTCTGTTTTTGGAGTGTTTTTGTTGAGGAAACGTTCGGGGAAATTGAGTCGAGCATTTTCGCCTCGTAATTTAAAGGCCTCGCGATCGTAAGCCATGGCGGCGTCTTCGGCGGTGTCGAAGGTTCCTAACCAAAGGCGAGTTCGATTACGAGGGAGACGAATTTCAGCCACCCATTTCCCCCAATGCCGCTGCCTAACTCCTCTGTAAAGCTTGGTGGCGCTTAAGGGCTGCACCGGCGGTCCAAACAAATGACACCCATCTGGCCCCATTCTGCTCATCATCATAGCTCTCCCTCTCGGACTCAAATGAAAAGCATCGCTCCAATACTTGAAAAGTCTCTGCTGGGTAGCCACCGGGTCGCCGCCACCGAGGAAGTACGGTGGATAGCCGATCCCCTGTTGCTGATTGGAACTAAAAGAAATCATCTGCTGCTCCGGCGACCCAAACGCCGGAAAATGAGAGGAAGAAGAAGAAGAAGAAGAGGAAGAAGAAACGAATTGGGTTGTTGTTGTTGTTGTTGTTGATTGCTGAGATGCTTGAAAATCAAAAGGAAATTGGATCTTAGAAGGAGGAGAAACAGAAACAGGGGATTGAAGAAATGGGTTTTGAAAATCCGAACTACAGAATTTCTTGAGAGGTCTTCTGGACAAGAAAGCATCATCTAAAACAGGCTTCCATTGTTCTTTACCTTTGTCGATCTTCTTCTTTGAAAATTTCAGTTGTGGGGTTCTTTCATCAAGAACCATCTTCGATTTCCCTGTTTTCTTATCCTCCGCCATGGATGGAAACAGAGCAGTTTCTAAGCTCACACCTCTCGCTCGCAAACTTGCAGGAAACAGAGACTTCGAGAGTGAAATGGAGTTGAATCGGAAACAGGGTTTATCCGGATTAAGAAAAAACAGAGCGAGCGAGCGAGCGAGCGGCGGAGCGGGGGCGGCGATATGGAAGTAGACGGCGGCGGATGCGGTGGCGTGTTGGGAATGTGCGTAGAAGAAGAAATGGGGTAAGTTTATAAGTTGAATGAGAGAAGAGAAAAAGATTTGAAGTTTGTGTTTTTCCGGTGAATGGAAGAGAGAGAATATGTTTAAGTGTTGTGGTTGGTCAGCTACGAGGCGGCCCCACAAACCCATTTATTCCAATTCCCAAGTGTCTTTCCTTGCACTTCAATTCTTTTCCTATTTTCTTTTCTTTTTAATCATAAATTAATTTACTCTATTTTCTCTATAAAACAATATTCATCCACCAATAATAATATTCTTAAAAAATAAAAAATATTCATTAATACCCTTCCATTTCTTTAAAGATTAAATATATTAAATTAAAAAAAAATTAAAAATTTTTATAGTTAACCTAGGGATGAAACTGTCTATTGACATTTCATAAGTTATATTTGAATTTTTTAACGTTAATTTTAAAAATTTATTAATATTTTTTAAATGGGGTGAAAATAGTTTTGACTTTTGCGTAAACGAGTTTAAAGATAATTTTAAATTTTTTAAAAAAAGTTTCGGAGTATTAATTAAACTTTTATAGTAAATTAATATTTTGTAATTTTTTAGAATTTTTTTAATTAAGTTACGAATTATGTTTTATTTTATTTTAAAAGATGATTAAATTATCTTATAAAAATCATTACAAATTTAAATTATATGAATTACAAGCTGATTGGGTATAAATTAAATTAGAAAATTAAATAATTAGTGATTAAAGTATATATTTAAATTTTTAAAATTTAATTTATATTAAAAAAATTGTAAAATTAACAAAAATAGTTAAATATGAAATTAGATAAGTTAAATTAATTTGAAAATAAAACGGGGTTTGGAAAGAGTAAATATTTAATGTGTGATGGAAGTGCTCCCACGCGCCCCGCCCCCTATGCTACTTTCGGTGATTCCGTCTTTCTCTCTCTCATAAAAATAATAATTTAAAAATACAAAGTCAAATTGGTGTTCTTTGTGGAGCCCAAAAGTCAACAACATTACAAACAATGTCGGTGTTTACGGACACGTGTCGGTCATTCATTCTTGACTTTTTCTTCCGGGCTAACTAACTACAAAATATCTTGCCCTATCCTTGTCTCTTTGTGTTCTTGCCATATATTCGATAAGTATGGTTTTATTTTTTAATCAAATTTAGTGCTTTGACTTACGTACAAATGTTATCTTTAAAAACTTAAATAAATAATATTTTATATTTGACTAAGAATTAAAATATTTACTATTGCCAACAATATAGACGTTGACGGGAAAGGGTGAAAAAGGAGAAGCCTTTCTCATACATATCTCCTACCTCCTACTTTAATTGGGATAGGAATTTCCCGAGTGGAATTCGTAGGAATAGGTCCATATTTTTATGTATATTTTTTAAATAAAGACCGGAAAATATAATAATATAATATAATATTCAACATAATTTCGAACAAAGATTTGGACAAAATTGAGGATAAGAACATAGACGGAGAAATATAATTTTTTTCATCAGCTTCATTTAGCTAATGAGGATTACTCACCTCGTTGAAAATGGATCTCCCCGAATTAAATAGACTTTCTAAAAGTCAAATGTGGTGTAAGTAAGAGGTAGAATACCGTAACGTTAAGAGGTTATTAGAAAAAAAAGAACACTTTGATAAATTACTTTATAGAAACGTTCAAACGTGATAATTTCAATTCAAAATTTCTTTATAAGTCTTCTCCTTCTCGAACACAATCATACCTAAATGATTTTACTAAAAAAAAAAAACAAAATTTAATAAATATATATATATATATTTCAAATTATTTTAAATTTATAATACATTAAAATATATATTTGATAGCCATAGTATGCCTTTACAAATTAATTGCAACAGCCAAAAAGAGAATTTATTTGCTTTTGTTTTGTTATTTTATTTTATTTTAATAAAAAAAAAATAGAGAATTTTGAAAAAGCCAAATTCCATCCTTTTCAAATAAGAGAAAATAATAAGTATTTTCAAAATATCAAAACTCGTGAATGAGACCATAAGCCGCGTACATAAATCTCTTTCAAATGGAGCAAGATTTTTCCAAAAATAAATAATAAATAATAAAAAACAAATTCATTGCTCAAAATTAATTTTTATTATTTTACGAAAATAAATATATATTTTAGAAACTAATTTAAATAAATATATAATATAATATTATTATTGAGAGTGTCGTTGTTTGTGTCGCTTGATTAGAACGAGTATTGATGAGCAAGTATGAATATACAAAAATATCTAAACTTTGGCATCTTAGAGTTAATGGCGGAATCCAATGGCATTCCTCTTATCATTCCAAACAAGTTGCTAGAAACAAACCCATTAAAATATGAATCTTCCTTAGAACACCAAATTCAATTAAAAAAAACACTGTCCAAGTCAACTCCATTTCAGCTGGAAAGCTTCAACTTTAATCCATCGTAAACAACGCCATTAATATATATATAGTTATCTTGTCATTCGCCGTCTTTCTTTCTCTTTCTACTTCAAAGAAGTTGGTAGGTTGTGTGAAATCTCACTTCGGTTAGAGAGGGGAACGAAACATTCTTTGTAAGGACGTGGAAATCTATTCTACTGGTGGTGGACTTGGCATCAGAGCCAGACACTGATCAATGTGCTAGCAAGGATCTAAGCCTTCAAAGAGAGTGTTTGTGAGATCCCACGTCGGTTAGAGATGGAAACAAAACATTTCTTACAAGGGTGTGAAAACCTCTCACTAGCATATGCGTTTTTAAAACCGTGAGGCTGACGACGATACGTAACGGGGCAAAGCAGATAATTTCTACTAGTGGTGGGTTTGAGCGGTTGCAAATGATATTAGAGTTAGACACTGAGCAGTGTGTCAACGAGGACGCTGGACTCTCAAAAACAGTGGATTGTGAGATCCCACGTCGATTTAACGGTGTGGAAACCTCTCTTTAATCGACATATTTTTAAAACTGTGAGGTTAACAACCATACTAAACGGATGAAAGGCATAAACATGGTTATTGTTTGCTAATTTTTAAACAGTTTGTTCCACTAGTTTGTGTCGTGGGTTGACAAAAACTGACAAAAAAAAAAGGCATAAACTTTGAATAGTTCTTCAGCTCTTATCTCTTCCTAAAATATCTGATCTTTGCTTTCCAAACTCTTTGTTAACACAGAATGGATATTCTCCTAAGTGGGATTTCCATTCTTCCACCATTTACTTCACCAATTTATTCTTTCATCAACTGTTTAGTGGAGCTAACCAAGTTCATAAAGCAACTTTTTTCACATCTTTTTCGCATATTCTCTCTTCATCCCTATGAATTTCCCTGCGATTTCGTCGTAATCGGGCAGCTTCGGATGAACGTGCCTCGGATACTTGTTTTCATCTGGCTGCCAATGAGGGTACACAAAAACATTGTAAACTATACTTCCAATCGAATACGAATCGAAAACGAATTCGTCGTTCCAATCATAATCTAAACGATTAATCGTCGGAGACCGAATAGAATCGACATGATCATCCGTTCTACACTCGGAATGAACATAATATGGCTGCTGTTTGTCGATGAGATAACCGATAGTTACTTCATAAGATAAGCGATCGTCGGTTCTGTCTAAGCCATGTTCTTGATACCAATCTGGACAGTATTCAAGAGCCAGAATTGCTGGATGAAAGCAATCTCTAGCTATTTCATTCATTAATCTTTGCTTCTCATCATCTGAAACAGCCTTCATTGCAAGCTTCTCTTTGATCTGTACAAAAGTAATGAATGTTTCAATATTCATAGCCCAACAATCTATGAACAGGATTCTAATACCTGTGGATTCACAAGGTTTTCAGGATGCAATTCCACAGCAGCCATGGCAAAACGCTGTCCGTAACGCTCCTCGAAGAACTTTCGAACCGGTTTAAGCTCAGGAAAATCCCCACATCTTGCAGAGGCAAATATGAGACTTGAAATTGCTTCCATAAGATCATCTGGGCATGTCCTGAAACCACCAACAAAGACATTTTTTAAGGATGTTTTTCTCAGATCAAAACCTCCTGAAAAATGGGAACAATTAGGCCTACTTGTTCTTCCTGACATGGGAGAACTTCACCAGGATGAATTCACAGAAGTTCTCAATCAAATCATATGCCTCCATCAAGCTTTCATCTCTAACAAGCTGCTCCACCTGATATACAAACAATCAAAAGAAATGGTACGTTTTTAAAACGTGTCTGCTAGGGAGAGGTTTCTACACCCTTAAAAGGAATGCTTCGTTTCCCTCTCCAACTAATGTGGGATCTTACAATCCACCCTTTGGGGGTCCAGCGTCCTCACTGGCTTACCGCTCGGTGTCTGGCTCTGATACCATTTGTAACACCGGGGCTCAGATATTGTCTTCTTCGGACTTTTCTCACGCTTAAAAGGAATGGTTCATTCACGTCTCCAACCAACGTGGGATCTCGCGGGTTTTGACATACCCTGTTGAAGGCGATCTGTTGATAGCCATTGCTAATCAGCTCAAACAAATCTTCACGTAATTGCCTAGCAATTGAATATCTCTTCTTCTTGAGCATCTTAAGCCGGCACAGAGCTTGTTCGACCAGCTTCTTACTGTATAAAATCACAAATAAAGATCAAATCCTTTAAAAAAATAAGAACATGTAGCAATGAACCCACCATTTTGAAGCTTTTCTCCACCCAAATAGAATCCCAAACATGTCTGAACTTACACTTGAGAACCATGGCAATGAAACTGAGTATCATTTCATTATAACTGTTGGGAGTTATTAAGCAGAAGTGGGTTTGAAAATTTAGAGAAAGAGAGCACAGAGAGGGGACGTGGGATGGACTTAGCCGAAATTCTAGGCTTACTAAACGCTGCAAAAAAGAAGCCCTCTTTTTTAGAACTTGTCAGATCCCACATTGCGGGAAATGGTGTCAGAGTCCGATTGGTGTGCCAGCGAGGACGAAACACTCTTTATAAAGATCCAGAAAACAATATATGCTAGCAGGGCTTGAGCTTGGACGGTTCATGGAAATGCATCGTTTGCCAAAAGGGTTAGCAGAAATATCAATAAAGTTACGAACTTTGATCATATTTCGACATGATGTCGAGGGATAGGGCGAGAATCTTAAATGAAAAAACCTCGTAATCTTTATAAGATACACATTGAAGCAAAAGAATGAACATCCATAGCACTTACAAAAGAAAAAAAGGGGTGCTTCTTAATTACCTATTTTCCACCCATCTATCACAAGAAAGTGAAAAACACAATGTATTTACATAGAAAAAAGATTAAGAATGATGAGAGCAATGAAAGGGTAAAATGATGCCCAGAGCTTTACAGTTTACAAGGCAGCACCGTAAGTAGAATTAGTCGACAAAATCCCAACCTTCTTGTCGGGGGACAAATTATCAACGATCAACGAACAATTAACGAACACATTAACCTTCTTCAACGACAACCTTCCAATAACGATGGTGACTGGCACTTTCACCACGACCAGCAAAGGAATTCTGCCGCTGTGTCGGTTCTGCATCAGCGCCTCTTGAGGCCCAGATCCAAATTCGCTCTTCCCAGTTAGCGAAATGCTTATGTCGGTGACATTCTTGGAGGGCTGTCGGAAATTGGGGATATCTCCGGTGCAGAGCACCGATTGATTGTAGAGAACAGAGACATAGCTGCCTTTGCCGTAGACAAAGTCGATGTTTTGATTTGGGTTGTCGGCGGTGACGATGACGATGAATTCGGTGTAGAGGCTGAAATCGGGCTTAACGTCGAAGACACGGACATTGAAACTAGAGACTTTGTAAGAAGGGATTTGGGGATTGTAATATGAGAAGAGGACATAGGCGAGGCCGAACAGAGAAAAGATGAGGAATAAGAGGAAACAGTAACAGCAACAAATGCATTTCAAACAACAACCAGCACAGCCGCCGCCTCCGCCGTGTGCCTTGGAATGGTATCTCGGGACGTGACGGCGGTAGGGCGGAGGACGGAGGCTGCCTTGGTGGTTGTCGGAGAGCATAACATATTTGGGTTTTGGTGCGGTATCCATGACTGTTTGATGGGCATTGCTCGTTAAACAAATAGTTTGTTTGTTGTGTTTTTCGTGTTTGTCTCTTTTGCCTTAGCCCAAATTGCCCAAATTTGGAGCTAAGGTCACAAATTGAGAGAAGATGATTGAAGGGTTTTGGTTCTTTTGGGTTCCCATTGCTCTGTTTTAGGGGACTGTTATGTGTTTGTGGACATTAATGAATGGAACACAAACCATTGAGGTTTTTGATGTATGTTTTCGTTGGTTTCTCTGTTCCATGTCTATTTTTAAATAAAACAGAGTTATGGGTGTCGTGTGAGACAGACGGAGAGTCTCCACAACGCCATTAATGAAACCTTAAGAAAAACATGTGGCTGTCTCAAAGGTACCACCTTGGTGAAACCTTAAAAATATTATAGAATTCAATGTTTAATTGTTCATGGGGTACCATAGCCACGGCAGTACAAATACATTGGAAATGAAAAAAACAGAGTATACACAGAGAGATGGTCCATGGCGCAGCCTATTTATGATAGAGACAAAGATCCATAAGCTTTCATAACAACATTAATGGCATTCACATTGCACTGAGGATACAAATTTATTGATTCCCCTCTTTTCTAAACACTTCAAATTGAGTGCTCGGGTTCGTAGCGGACTCATCGAATAATAGAGGCATTGATGGCTCTTCATGTTTAACGATGTTTTGGCAAGCTTGGATTCCATGTATGGAGCACTAAACGAGGGCTTATAGTCTAAGTAGACAATATCGTTTCATTATAGAGGTTCGTAATTTCTAACATAGTATTAGAGTCATGTCAAGTAAACAGAATCCTCAAGTGTGGAACAAAAAGTTATGGGCCTTGAAAGTGTAGTCAAAGATGACTCAAGTGTCGAACAAATGGTGTACTTTGTTAAAGGGCTCCGGAGAAGAAGTTGAGCCTCGATTACGGGGATTTGACAGCTCTCGGTTAAGTCGAGCCTCTATGACGTATTTTGGTAGAGGGAAGAATTTCAAGGGCTCCATAGACATAGTCGAGCCTTGCTTAAAGCGGACAGTATCACACTACGGCTTTATATAACCCCTCCATTTCCTCTGTTTCTTTACACGGTTCTCTGTTTTTTCTCTACAAACCCTATGAAAAAGGAACCTCTTTTCTTGAACTTCTACTCCAAAACCATGAAGGGTTCGACTTGGTTTTCTATTATCTTCATTGCTTTCTTACTTTTCCCAACACCCATTTCCTCACAACGCATTTCTCACCAGAACTCACGTAATCACTCATACCTTCAACACCCATTTCATGTCTTCAATGCTTTTCTTCGTTCCGCCATGAACTAACCTTCATGACTTGTGTGCAGGTCATGTCCACCACCGCAAGATGGCGGCAGAAGAGGCGGCGATGGGGAGAAAAGGGGTGGAGACAGTTGAAGTAGCAGGGTCGAGCTTGCCGGACTGCTCGCATGCGTGTGCCTCGTGCTCGCCGTGCAGACTAGTGATGATAAGTTTTGTTTGTGCTTCACTTCAGGAAGCTGAAACATGTCCAATGGCTTATAGATGCATGTGCAATAACAAGTCCTATCCTCTTCCTTAATCCAAACTCTTCCTAACCAAACTACTTCAACAGATATTATCCTAGTTACGTATAGCAGTTAGTCTCACAATTTTTAAAATACATGTGCTAGGGAAAGATTTCCATACCCTTTATAAGAAATAATTCATTTCCTTCTCCAACTAATGTAGGATCTCACAGTCTGTCCCCTTTAGGGTCTAATGTACTCGCTGACACACCGACTGATATATATCTCTGGTACCATTTGTAATACCTTAAGTTTACATGTAGCCGATATTGTTATCTTTTAGCCTTCTCTTCAAGATTTAGAGAGACTGTTAAACTCTTATAAGGAATGTTTTGTTTTTCTCTCCAACCGAGGTGAGATTTCACACGTAGCTACAATGTGATGATCATATCGTCAGTAAAAAATATCGAATTCTTTCGACATGTTTTGTCCTTACTCACAAAACCCTAATCAAATTTATATAATATATTGATAATTTAATCATTATATTATATGCAATAATTACTCAAAGGTACATTAATAATAAAATTCAACGATCATTGAAAAGGATTATTGAAAAAGTACATATTAATTTACTTATTTTAATATTGTCCTTGAAAATTAAAAATAATAATAATAAAAAAAAGGTCTAATTTCACACATTAAAATTAGCTTATTGAAATGAGAAAAATATTTATGAAGAGAAAAAAATAATAATAAAAAAAAAGACCATCCATGACCAAGATCTCATACAAGTGGGGCCCACCAAGGGAGCATGCACAAACTCCACAACTCTCTTTTGACTTTTATAAATAAAAATAATAATAAAATAAAAATTTCCATATATTTTAAAATATTATTTTCAAAAGATATTATTAAAATAAAATTTATTATTGTCACCCAACCTTCCAATTTTTCACATGTTAATTTTTTTTTATTTACTATTTAATAAAAAATTGGTATTTTAATTTTTTTAAAAAATTAAGGATATTAATGAAAATGTTTAAAGTTTAAGAATATTTTTGAAACAAAGTACTAATAGTTCCATCCCAAACTAAACCTACTAGTACTGATAAAACTTTTGAAATTTTGATATCATACGTTTAAGGTGACAATTATAATATAACGTTGTTTGTTTGATGGTTTTCGTTTTCGTGTTAAAAGTCATGTTTCTCAAGTTGATTTCTTGCCAAATATAAAACTCTAAACTATCTTTGCTTAAGCAAAATTTAATGTTCATAATAGTCGTAGAAAAGTAGAAGGATATAATTTGCGAGATTTACTTTTTAATTCATAAATTAAATAAATAGCGGCATATATAAACCGTCAACGGTTCAGCTCATGAACACAACTTCCACGGATAATCAAATTTAGAAAATTTTAAAAAATATAACAAAAATTAAATGATTATAAAGGATGGTTGACTATCAAATTAATTTTATGGGGATTAATAGTTGAATTGTTATTAAAAAATTAACTATTAAGCCCTATTCTCAAATTAATTAATTAAATTTGTGGCAAATAGCAGATGTATTTACATAATTTAATTAATTATTGACCTCTATAATTCCTATACTACGGTGGTAGGTCTCGGTATTAAGCTTTGTTCAAAGTCAACTACATTCACCACTAAATGGAATACCAATATTCAATAACTACTCATATCTTTGTACATCCGAACACCGGTTAGTTTCTAACAGATGTGTACCAAGACATGAGACAATATCGCGATGCATGGATTATGTTGTTCATAACCAAGATGACAATGAAATGTGACGATGTTGTGTCACAACAATTGAACATGCATGTACGAACAACGTATGTGACCGAACAAGCGTTGTTTGTGAAAGATGTGAATGGGGCTTGAGTTCCCACTTGAGGCTTGTTGTGAGTGTGTTAAAGTCACAATGCTGCACAGTTAAAGAAGTACGATCGTGACAGTTAATCAGACGTCAATTCTAAAACAATATTTATCCTTCCATGTAGTATCATTGATTAGGCATAGAATTAGACGTTAAACCAAACCAAAACGATCCGTATATTTGATTAAAACTTTGAATACATTAAGAGTATGAAATTGATGGGTTTTTAAGCAGAAGAAAATGATATATGATTGACTCATTGTGTTAGCCATGGCGAAGGCCAGTGAAGTAATTGAAGTCATGATGCTGGACTCTCAGTTGCTTTAGCCATGACTCCGCCACACTCGACAGCGCCACCAGCCTCTCCTGGTCCCGACCGCCGTTACCCGCCACCCACAGACTCCCTTGCATCTTGTACGTCGCCACCCCGAACGCCGCCACCGCTATCCCTTCCCCGGCTTCCCTCTGCAGCCGCCGCTTCATCTCTCCCTCCTCCTCCATCTCTATATCTACCACACACGTAGCTCAGAACATGAATAACAGCTTCAAAAACAGAGCATGCTCTGTGAGGTGAAAAACAGAGTACCTTGAAATGAAGATGACAGAGTATGATAAGTGAGGAAGCAAGTGGACAAGTCCTTGATAGTTCTTCCCATGGGAATATGATAAATTGGGTACCTAAAAAATGGCCTCAAATGATCAGAAACTATTCATTATCATTACAAGAAACAACGTTCAAAAAACAGAGAAACAGAGGAACAGAGAGAAACAGAGTAGGCTAATACCAAGACACAGCCATCCAGCTTGCTGGCGACAGATCCACACTCCTCAATGTCATCAAACCTGGGAATCTTCGAGCTAATCCATTGATCTGAAAAGGGTCGAATAATAACAAGTTCAAAATCAAATGGAAAACATAAAAATCAAGAATCTAAGATTTGTCCCTTCCTTTACAGTTCTGATGGATTAGACAGAACGTAAGGCAAGAACATTTCCACTTCCTCAGGAAAAACAACAACAAAACATTATAAAACATTCCCAATACAGAGATTAGTGTTCAGCACAAAAATAAAAAAAAGAAGAAAAGATTCTGTTTCTGCAGCTTTTTTTTCTTCTTTTTTTATGAATAATACTGTCTGAGTAAAGAACTATTGAAATGATTTGAAGGCACCTTATCCAGTAAAGGGACTCTTCCATATGGAGTTGATTTCTCAAAGAATTGAAAGTAAAGGTAACCCAATCGATCGTTTTGATGCAGAAGCGATTCTTGTTCGGATCCTCCATCTTCAGAGGAACTGCTTCCAGTTCCATCCCATCTCCATAGTTTATCGCTATCACTTTCTTCACTGCAACAATCGCTGTAAGAATCTCCGTCGCCGGACTCTGTTTCCACCCTGAGAAAACAGAGGAACTCTTAAAAATCATCGCCGGACTTTGTTCCCATTTGAAATTATCAGATTGGGATTGAAAGAGATACCTAAAACCAGTGAAGATTTGGATGGCGGAGAGATAAGGAACGTAATATTGAGTTAATGTTTCTCCATTGCTTAAAGTGATTGGAACTTTGGCTCCATAAACACTCCATTCATCGTAGCAGTTCCAGATATCACTCAGAGTGAAATATTCCACTTTTTCTCTCTCCCATGGATGCCATACTCGATTGAGATTCCTGATTTCTGTCTGTAAATTGTAAAAAACATTGAAACCCATTAAAAATTGATGAAATGAAATGAAGTGAAAGAGGTTAAAGAACTTCATACCTTTGGGAGGAATTGGGATTGAACCACTGGTGTTGTGCAATGAAGAAAACAATCCAAATTCGACGCCATTCCAGAAAACCGAGCTGAAATATTGTCGGGATTTGAGAGAAACAAACTGTGTTCTTACGGATTCTTCTCTTCTTCTTCTTTTATTCACTCAGATTCCTCGCTGGTAATGCGGAAACCCCAATTCGTTTCTTCAATCCTTCAGATTTTAACCCTTTTTGATCCAAAAAGGAAACAACCCAGAAAGAAAAACAGCCAAAACAGAGAAAACACCCAAATCCGAAACGGGTTTCAATGAAGAACAGAGGCTAAAACTAGAAGGAGGAAATGAGGATACGCTACGCAACCAAGAACGGATTACTTTCCTTTAATTTTCACAACAGAAACCCATAATTCCTGGACTAATGATTAGTTTTTTCGGGTATAGAAAAATGACGAAATGAAGGCAGTAAACCCAACAGAAAAAGGGGAAAAGAAACGGCAGAGCAAAAACAGAGTATAGCGAGACACACAGAAAAACAGGGGAAGGAAGAACAGAACTGCAAAAACAGATCCTTCTTTTCTCAATCGTTTCAGACTCAGACTCAGAAGAAGAAGAAGAATTCGGTTAAAGATTTGTGATTTATATTCTAAATTCTAATCCGTCGAAGAGCAGAACGTGTCTCTGTCCTCTGTACCTCTGAAGAAAAGGGAGCGCATTATAAATTTGTTCATGACGTCCTTTTCATTTATTGACTTTTTTTTTATTAATTAAAAAAAAATACAATACATGTATTTTATTACACAATTGCATGTCTTTATTTCTAGACTAAATTAATTATTCCATATTTATTGAATTAATTAAAAGATTATTCTATTATTATTATTTTTAGATAATTTAAAATAAACTCTAACATATTTGAATTTTCAATAAATTTTTTAATTATTTATTTTTGACTAAAAATACATGAAAAAATATAAATATATATTTTATTATAAGGTAAATGGAGACGGTATTATCTTATCTTTTCTCACCCACTTCGATTAATAATTGTATATATAATCAATTTTATATCTTAATATACGTGGCGGGTTGATTAAGCATAAAAGCTTATTATATATTATCATATCATATAATATTTATTCATATTGGGAAGTAATAAATCAAGGGGCTAATGTAACATCAAATAATGGAAGGCAATCTTAGATGGGGTCAATGATGAAATCAAGAAGAGAATGATAGAGAGAGATTATGGAAATATGGATAATTGAGACCCCTGATATTAAATGGTTTTGGTGGGGAGTTTATTTGCTTTTTGGTCCCTAAACTATTCACTATTTACTCACAAAGCACCAAATTGTCCAATGCCAAGTGTTGTGCCCTTTAATTTCACTTTCCCTTTTTTTCTTCAAGGGTGGTTGGGGGATATGGGATATAATAAAAGTAGACGATGAATATTCAAATACCCTCTCTTTTGTTTTCCGAATCGAGAATCGAGAATCGGTGAAATAATTAGTCAATCGTGAATCTCGACCAGCCTCCGAAGAATATCGTTTTATAGTCAAGGTCGAGCATGGTCGAGATGCACTTTCTTTTTGTCGATGACAACATTTTTTGTGAAAATTTTAATAAGGACAAAGTCTCGATGGTTTTTATCCTTTTTTTAATCCAGAAATAAATTGATCGAGCTGAATTTTATTGAAATTTAAAAAGGGTTGACTTTCGTCAAATAATATTTATTGAGAATTACTCGCTTCCTAAATAAAGAAAAAAAGGAAAAATACAAATGAAAGTTTGGTAACAGATTTTTGTATTACCATCCTTGAAATATTTTTTAAAAATAATATATTCTATTAAATGGTCAAAATTGTCTTAAAAATATTTGAATTAATAATAACCATATTTGAGATAGATTTTTTTATAAACATTTCAAATGTTTTATTAAATTAAAAAAAAATATATTAATTAATAGCTACTAAATAATTTAGTCGAGAATATATACCATGGTAAGGTCTATAGAGCATTTAATTAAATTATTATTAATAGTAATTAGAATATTTCATTAAAAACATTGTTTAATATTTTAAGCTAAAATTAAAAAAACAAAAGTCTGAAACGACGTCGTTGAAGACAATGTCGAACGGAAATTGTGGTAATGGCCCAATGTTATTGGGCCGTATCGTTAGCTTATTGCAGACGTTGAGGCCCAACTTAGAATGGGGCCTTGCTGATAGCCCACCAGAAAATTCTGGGCTTTATTTCAATATTATAATAGAATTTCTTCCTGAAAATCATTTCTAAAATTAAATAAATTATTAAAATTTAAAAATTCGATAATGAATTTTGAAAATATTGTTAGAAAAATATGAACTAAAAATATATATTAAATTCAAATATTAAATATTATTATTACCGAATTTTAGGGGAAAAAAAAAATGATGAAAGATCCCTCGCATGATTTTTCATCTCCCTCTTAACAGAGCCTTCTCGGCGGTGGCCATCTCTTCCAAGATCCTGGCCTTCCTCTTGGCCGGAATCGGCGCCGTCGGCCCAAAGCTAATGTAATGCCCGGAAACCGCATTCAGAGCCGAATACATATCCCTAAACGAAGCTCGTCCCAACAGGGATTTCTCCTTCCTGTACTTAGCCACCCAAGAATTGGAACTTTCTCGAAGCTCCGCCACCGCCGCCGCCACATTCGGGTCGTTTTTATCCATGGTGATCGTCGTTCTCACCTTGCCTATCACCTCGGTTGTGTCCTTCACGTACTCCTCGTCAGACGACGCTAGTGCCGGAGCTGGAGGGAACAGAACCCACGACGGCGCTAGAACAGAGGCCGTCAAAGACAGGAACTCGCGGCGGCGGGAGTAATGGTGGGTGGTGGTTGTTGCAGCGGCGGAAATGGAGGATTTGGGTTTGAGAGGGATGATGAGAGGCTGAGATTTGGAAGTAGATGGGGTTATCAGTGTTGGGGAAGCCATGATTTTGAGGCAACTGGAATGTGAAAGTGAAATTTAGTAGAGAAATTTGGGGAATTGGGTGTTTGCCACGTGTACTTATCATCTTATCCTATTTGTTGGGACTTATGGATGAGGGATGGACCAATGAGATATAAGGTTCAGATCTTCCGTTTCTTGTTCCTAGGGAGACTAATGGGCTTTAACTCAAGGTTTCAACATGAGGCCCATATTTATTAGGCCCAACTCTAAGCCCAATCCATTTGAGTATTTGTAAATAATAATTTTTTAAATAAAAAATTGAATAAATAACTCGAACCTCGGACCACATGTTTAATGGTTGGGTTGAGTGGATTGAGTTTAAAAAATGTCTGAAATCAACCTTATTCAATCCAGTCAGAGCTGAAACCACCAAATACATTAAAACAAATTTTGTTGACCTAATTTTATCACTTTACTTCACTCATCACCACCAATTATATAGTTGACCTATTTACTTCATAAACGGACACCTAAGTAAGTAAGGGTTACATCAATGAACCGAGACTACCTTCGAATGAGAGAGATCTTTAAGATAGGATAACTAAGAAGAATTGGGATGTAGGGGAATGTCGAAGCCATGACAAATCTGAATTTTGGGTATGGTTGTTACCTTTTTGACCATCTTATTCCCGCTAGTCTTGAGTATGGGGACGAGACATGAGTTTCCTTTGTCACCACCATCTGACCCATCGAATGTCTTCTCGTGGAGTGGGTCATAGATTAATAATTATTATGGCAACCGGTTGAGGCATCATCTTCCCTATCTAACCTAACTGCACCACATACAACTCAACAAAATGTAGAGAGTGAAGAGAATTTTTCCTCAAACATGAGATTATGGATACGACTTAGATTGGTTGTTAGCTATGTCGATATCGATGCGGGTTCAACTACATTAAAGAGAGTAACAATGTTAGATAGATAAAAAGATAGATGAGATGGCTTCCCCATCTTCCAATTGACTTAGAAAATGAACCAAAACATTGACCACACAAATGAATGACAGTCTTTTTTGATGGGGTTGTTCTTATTGTATCACATAAATAATGAAAAGCAAAAGCAACCAAAAGTGACAACAAAAAGTTGGTTCGATCTCTTTTTTTGAGTGAGGCAACCTCTGTACTTCATCAAAACGTATTTCATAAGTTTCCCCTCCTTTTCCTTATCTTTCCCTTTCCCCCTTTCTCAAGTTGAACAAAAACCGATCAACAAACTAAACTCGGTCTACAATAAAAGTAGCAATCATTTAGAATGTTAGACAAAAGATCGATAAAACGGTGAGGTAAAACGACGTGAAAGTAATGTAACTGTGAGAACCCACATCGGTGGGAGATAAGAACGACATTCTTTTTAAGGGTATGAAAACCTCTCCTTAACAAACACGTTTTAAAGGCTGATGACGAGAAGTAATGAGCCAAAGTAGTGTGCCAGCGATTACGCCAGCCCCTAAGAAGGGTGGATTGTGAGACCCCTCGTCGGTTTGAGAGGGGAATGAAACATCTCTTATAAGGGTGTGAAAATCCCTTTCTAATAGACACGTTTTAAGACCGTGAAGCTGAGTGCGATACCTAAAGAGGGAATGAGTGGTTGAGTTGGAAGTTTAGAGGAGAAAGAGATGGCTTGTGATAAAAGCAAGCAAGGGGAGAGTAGGTTGGATTGAAAGAGGACGTGTGAAGGCATTTAAAAGTGTCACCCATCATTGATAGCAACTGGCAGTTGGGGGATTGAAATGGGTATTGAATTGAATCAATTTGGGGCAATCGAAGATCCCATTGACTTTGGTCGGTTGCATTATTTCATCCCACACCCTTTGGCCCCCAACTTGGATTGGACTCTTCTTTCTCTTACACACGGGAACTATGCACATTCTCTAAGTCAAATGCCCTCAAACTCACTGCAATAATGTGAAATGATGTGAACTTTTGCCTAATCTAATCTCATCTCATCTCCTTATTCTCTGTTTTTGCTATCAAAATGATACTCAAAACAAAGAATTGCATAGAAAAGACCCTTTTTTTAAGACCCATCAAGCTATCTCTTCGACCCAACTCCCTAAACTGTACCATAGAGTGATAGCAATTCAGAGAAAGAACAAGAAAGGAAGCCACTTTGAACAAAGCAAAGAATTTTCATCCGTTGGATCTGTTCTTCATTGCTGGTTTTTGTTTACATTCTAATACGAATACCCTCTTAAAGATTTGGGAGGATAATGTTGGAATGTCGATAAGAACAGTTCAAAATGGAGAAGCACTCTTCTGGGTTCTAACCTTATCCAAAATGGTGGTGCATTCAACTAATAAAGCTTTATTATCTGTTAATTGCCAACTCTCTCTCTCTCTCTCCTCTCTCTCTCTCTCTCTCTCTGACTCATCAAATGTGAAAAAAACTCACCCATTTGACCTAAAAGCAAAACCCCACACCCAATTTTGGCTTTTCCTCAAATTTTCCCTCATTTCTCATAGGCGCTTTTACTCGCTCCTTTCTTCATTCAGTTGTTAAAGCCTCCTCTTTTCCTGTTTCTTTAGCCATTTGTGCAATATTGGCTGATGGGTATGCTTTCATTTGCTTGAATTTTGGTGTTTTCTGGTTTGTTTTCCATCCTTATCAACAAAGAATCACAAATCGTCTCTACATTATGTATCTGTTTGAGTGAGAGTATGCAGAGCTTTGAATCAGAAGAGGTTTTTTTCTTTCTGGGTTCTGTAATTGTGACTGTTTTCTGCTTTGTGTGTTATATATTATCATTGTTTTTGCTCATTGGGGCTCTTCCCTTTGCCAACATCATACCTTTTCTACTCCTTTTCTGCTTTCGTGTTCCTTGCTTTATTATACTTTTACAAGTTCTCTTGATTCTATTTCATTTCTCTTCTCTGAAATGGTTTGAAAACCATGGAAATTCGAACCTGTAAGTGTTCATTTCAATGGTTTCAACCATTTTTAAGCTTGAAACCAAGTGAAAATCATCGCTTTTTTTGTTTGATTCTCGTTCGTCCATGGATCTTTTGAACAAGTGGGGTTTTCTCAAATGATATTAAAAAACTGTCTTTGACAATGGTGGACACAGTGCACTTAGTTTTTTCCAACGTGGGTCTGACGATGGACAAGTCACCGCTCGCAGGATCATGAGGACAAGGATTTCTTTTTTATTGTTTTCTATTCCTGCCTCACATGGCAGCTTATTTAATGACCTGTTCTTGCCTTTTATTTTACTTTCCCTCATGCATCACTTTCTTGATTCGCTATAAACTATGGCTTAAAATCATTTGTTTAATCAGCCGTTTCTTGTTTTGTTCAGCTTGTTTGACTGCAAAAAAACATTCAAAGTCTTAACATATTGCGGTATGAACAAAAGCTTCTCTCTGTCTCTCTCTGTTCTTTGAGTGTTTGAATGTGTTCATTTGAGATCTAGCCTAAAAGGGGAATCTTGTCGTTCTTATTTACATTAGATGATGTTCTTTTGAATCCCAAGATATCAAAATGGGTGGTTGTGTCTCTACAAGCAGCCATAGTACTTGTAGTAGCCAGAGCAATGGGGAATCCGTTTCTTCTTCGTGTATGGGAATTAGATTTCGAGGTCGAAAGCGATCGAACTCCGACCATGTTTATGTTCTTCAGAATCTTCCTTCAGCTCCCAACAGGATCTTCTTGAATGGAAAGAGTAATTCTTCTTGTATTTTCACGCAACAAGGTCGCAAGGGCGTAAACCAGGACGCCATGGTTGTGTGGGAAGTATGTTCTTGTTCTGTTTCTGTCTCTGTTCTTCGACACATAGTTAGTTGAATTGTTGTTAGAGGTTCATTCTTACTTGTTTTTTATAGGATTTCATGTCGGACGACACGATCTTTTGTGGTGTTTTTGATGGTCATGGACCTTACGGTCACCTTGTTTCTCGACGAGTGAGGGATACATTGCCTATAAAGTTGCTGTCGTTTTTTCAGTCTCCTCAGTTGAAGCAGAATGTCTCTGGTAAAACCTGTTTCCAGAGGAATTTGAAGACATCTCGAGAATGTGACGATTCTGAGAAGGATTGTTTCATCGAGGACTCGCAGAATTCGGTATGGCGAGATGCGTTCTTGAACTCGTATAAAGCTATGGATAAGGAGTTGAGATCACATCCTAATCTGGACTGCTTTTGTAGTGGTAGTACAGCAGTCACCATAGTTAAACAGGTTTGACATGAAGGATTTCCTTTCCAATCATTCGGGTTTTCTTGTGTCGTCTTTGTTTCTTATTTGGTCGTGTTTAGGGGTCAAATCTGTTCATGGGGTACATCGGGGACTCTCGAGCAATCCTTGCCTCGAAGGACGCCAATGATTCGACAGTGGCGGTTCAGTTGACCGTGGATCTTAAGCCAGATTTGCCAAGTATGTTTGTTGCTGTTTTGTTCATTCATTGTTTGATTTATGAGCTAAGTTATGATTGTTGAGTATCATTCTGTAGGAGAAGCTGAAAGAATAAAACGGTGTAAAGGTAGGGTGTTTGCATTGCAAGATGAGCCTGAAGTGCCAAGGGTGTGGTTACCTTTCGACGATGCGCCCGGTTTAGCCATGGCTCGTGCTTTTGGAGACTTCTGTTTGAAAGAATATGGAGTTATCTCTATACCTGAATTCTCACATCGAACCCTCACCGACGCTGATCAGTTCGTCGTTCTTGCATCAGACGGGGTAAGTTTTTTGAAGGAGAACTTGATACTTATAAAGAGTGTATGTTATGGATGGGGGATGATTTAGTATTGTTGCAGGTATGGGATGTGTTGAGCAATGAAGAGGTGGTTGACATAGTGTCCTCGGCCTCATCCCGGGCATCAGCTGCGAGATCCGTGGTGGACTCTGCTGCTCGTGAATGGAAACTAAAATACCCGACCTCGAAAATGGATGATTGTGCTGTTGTCTGCTTATTTTTGGATGGGATGATGGACTCCGAATCCGATTGTGATGAACAAGGCTTCTCATCTGCAACGTCGCGTAGTATCCATTCGGGTGCTGCTATTGAATCCGATGATGGCCAGAAGTCTGAGCCATGTCTGCAAAGGAATAACACTGTGAGATCATCTGAGGACAACAAAACTTATGGGGGATTAGCTGATGATGACAGAGAGATTGGTGAAGCTGTACCTGCAGAAGATCAAAACTGGTCGGGTTTGGAAGGCGTCACTCGAGTGAACTCGCTCGTTCAACTTCCTAGATTTTCCGACAAAAGTCCAGTGTCGTAGGATTTATAGAATTCTAGAATTGTGAACTCAAAAATGTTTCAAACTGCTGCAAGGTTACAGGTTTGTGCAGGTACACATTTTTGGCACCACCATATGATGAATTGCACAAAAGTGAACTGGTTTCATAGATCAACTAATCTTCAAAGCTCACTCACATTGCAATCAAATGGATTTCTATAATGTGCTAAAAACTCAGGTTTTCAACTTTTTTGTGTTCTATTACCAACGAAGAACTCGTCGTGTCTGGTTGTCTGGTTGTGTAACATATCTATTAGGGAGATGTTTCTACACTCTTATAAGTAATGCTTCGTTTCCCCTCTTCGCTGGCATGTTTCCACCCAGAGAAGCCTTTGCTCAACAGGAATAGCACCATACGTTGTGAGATGAGCAAATGGCCAGAGTTTCCAGCTTGCCGGTCATGTCAATGATATCATTACCACGTTTCCAGCCAATACTGAACGTTTGTTTAAAAACTACGATTATCAATTGCTGCAAATTTGAAGATAGGCATATTACAACATGAACATGCTTGTGTAAACAGCAATCCAAGGAACAAACTCTTAACATCGATGCCAGACAAAGGCAAGAGAAGTTTCATACCGTAAGCATTGGCCAAAATGTCAACTTTAGTTCATCATAAATATAAAAAAAAAAAAAAAGATTTGAAAATGAAGGTCCCACCGAGATTTGAACTCGGGTTACTGGATTCAGAGTCCAATGTCCTAACCACTAGACCATGGGACCATTTGATGACTGGTTTTATTTATTACATTATAATAAAAAATTATAAATACTTCAATTTTAATCCCCTTGCGCGCCTTGTAGCGCAAAGCTCCAATGAGAAGAACCCTACTGAGGCCTTCATTCCTCTGCTCTTCATCTCGTCCCCTTCGTTTACTCGATCCTAAATCATATTCTTTGTATCGAAATGGGAAAGTATCGCCTAATAGTTCAGATTGCAATGTCACTCGCGGTTTCGGCGAGAATTTCAGGTTTGTCTTTACGAACACTCTTCTCCCTCCTCCCGAATGGATAGAACCCTTTGTGGATGTCTCTGATGTAGTTTCGAGCTCTCAACGCCCAGACCCATCTCCATGGGTGGCTCAAATTTTGAATCTTCTGGATGGGTCTTCGAACATGGAAGCTAATTTAGATTCGTTTTGTCGGAAGTTTTTGATTAAGTTATCGCCAAATTTTGTTGCATTTGTTTTACAATCTGTTGAACTTCGTGAGGTTCCTGAAATTGCTTTTCGGTTCTTTTATTGGGCGGGTAAGCAGAAGAAATATGTTCATAAGATCGAATGTTACGTATCTTTGATTGAACTCTTAACTTTTTCGGCCGATTTGGTGAAAATCAGATTGATATTCTGTGAACTTAAAGGTAGGGGTCTGTTAATGACTCTATCAGCGGCTAACTCTTTGATTAAGAGCTTTGGGAATCATGGGCTTGTTGAGGAATTGTTGTGGGTTTGGCGTCGAATGAAGGAAAATGGGATTGAGCCGAGTTTGTATACTTATAACTTTTTGGTTAATGGGTTGGTGAATTCAATGTTTATTGAGTCTGCTGAGAGGGTTTTTGAGGTTATGGATGGTGGGAAGATTATGCCCGACACTGTGACATATAATGTTATGATCAAAGGATATTGCAAGGCTGGGAAAATGCACAAGGCAATGGAGAAATTTAGAGCTATGGAGATGAAGAACGTGAACCCGGATAAGATTACGTACATGACATTGATCCAGGCGTGTTATTCCGAAGGAGATTTCGATACTTGTCTGAGTCTTTACCTTGAAATGGAAGAAAGGGGACTGGAAATTCCTTCTCATTCTTATAGTTTAGTTATTGGTGGGCTCTGTAAGCAAGGAAAATGTATGGAAGCTTATGCTGTTTTCGAGAAGATGAATCAGAAAGATTGTAGAGCGAACGTTGCAATTTATACAGCTTTGATCGATTCGTACTCGAAAAACGGGAGCATGGGAGAGGCCATGAGGCTGTTCGAGAGGATGAAAAATGAGGGGCTTGAACCGGATGCTGTAACGTACAGTGTCGTCGTTAATGGATTGTGCAAGAGTGGTAGATTGGAGGAAGCAATGGAATATTTTGATTTCTGCAGAAATAAAGGAGTGGGGATCAATGCAATGTTCTATGCTAGTATGATTGATGGACTTGGAAAGGCTGGGAGAATTGTAGAAGCAGAAAATCTTTTCGAAGAAATGTTCGAAAAGGGTTGTGCTCGAGATTCGTATTGTTATAACGCCATTATAGATGCACTAGCCAAGCATGGGAAGATTGATCAAGCTTTAACACTTTTTGGGAGGATGGAAGAAGAAGGTTGTGATCAAACAGTTTATACGTACACAATTCTTATCGACGGGCTGTTCAAGGAGCACAGAAATGAAGAGGCGATAAAGCTATGGGACACGATGATCGACAAAGGAATCACCCCAACGGTAGCTTCTTTCAGAGCCCTTGCCATAGGGCTATGTCTTTGTGGCAAGGTAGCCAGGGCTTGCAAAATCTTGGATGACCTTGCCCCTATGGGTGTCATTCCGGAGACAGCATTCGAGGATATGATCAACGCATTGTGCAAAGCCCGACGCGTCAAGGAAGCCTGCAAATTGGCAGATGGAATCGTGGATCGGGGCCGGGAAATACCAGGAAGAATACGTACCGTTCTTATCAATGGCTTGAGAAAGGCAGGTAACTCTGATTTAGCTATCAAACTGATGCATAGCAAGATTGGCATAGGATATGATCGGATGGGTAGTATTAAAAGGCGTGTCAAGTTTAGAACACTTGTTGAAAATTAAGTTCTTCTCATCTCTGATGCCTATATACTTCATGGCTTGAATACTGATTGTAGTGAACAGAGTTCTAGGGAAGCTCTGTTTTGGCTGTCTGGGTTTATTTCTTGAATACCAATCCTTCCACACATAGCGACCAAATACATAGCCATGGCTCATTTTCTTGTTTTTTTTTTGACATGGATGCCTCTTTTTTGGACAAAAGTTTCTCGTAGCTAAAGATAGTTTATGTGAGATCCCACATCAGTTGGAGGAGAGAACGAAACACTCCTTATAAGGGTGTGGAAACCTCTCCCTAATAGACGTGTTTTAAAAATCGTGAGGTTGGCAATAATATGTAACGGGCCAAAGCGGATAATATCTGTTAGCGGTAGGCTTGGTATGTTACAAATGGTATCAGAACTAGACACCTAGCAGTGTGCCAGTGAGGACATTAGGCCCCTAAGGGGGTGGATTGTGAGATCTCACATCGGTTGGAGAGGAGAACAAACACTCCTTGTAAGAGTGTGGAAACTTCTCCCTAATAGACGTATTTTAAAAACCGTGAGGCTTGGACTGTTACAAATGGTATTAGAGCTAGACACCGGGCGGTGTGCCAGCGAGGACGCTAGGCCCCTAAGGGGGGTGGTTTGTGAGATCCCACGTCGGTTAAAGAGGAGAACGAACACTCCTTATAAAGGTGCGGAAACCTCTCCCTAATAGACGCGTTTTAAAAACCGTGAAGCTGATGATGATACGTAACGGGTCGAAGTGGACAATATCTGTTAGCGGTAGACTTTGGCTGTTATAGTATCTTTTTCAGTATCTTACCTGTTATTCTGGTGTTCGATTGTTCTACAAGGAAATCAGTGTTCATATTTCTTAATGACAGGTCGCGTCAGTCAACGTTTTATCTTTTTGAATTCACTAGCCAAGGGGACATCCTTCCTTGTTTTCTTCGAACCACACTGCTTCAAAGAAACAACACTAGAAAAGGTAGACGAATCTTTATTGGCTAAGAACGAACAAGAAATTTACCTAGTTTTTGTCACCAGTTTAATGCTACCTCTCTTTTTTCACCCATTTTATGACCTTCGATGCAAACAAATTACTGTCCTTAGAATTATCCGACTGTTTCCTGCCTATTTAACCTCCATCGATCCTCATTGTTCAATTCCCCCGCCATCACCTTAAACTGATCAACCCCATATGGGTTCGGTTTCGACTGCTTCCGCGTCCCCGTCTCGGCCCCCTGCAGGAAACCCGTCGGCCAATTTCAAGATCTGTGTTTCCTATTGCGGCAAAGATGCTTCACAAGGCACCACCCTCTCTAATTGGATTGATTGTTACAACCCACAAGACAACTCATGGAACAGAGTCACTACAATCCCTGGCCTTCTGGAAAACCACGCTCTCAAGGGATTTTCAATGGTTTCAATCGGAGAATTCATCTACGTCATTGGCGGTCGCCTCTGCGAGAATATAGCTCCAGTCGACAACCAAATCCGAAGTGAATTGGAAGTTCGACGACAGGTTTGGCGTTACAACGTGCGTGAGAATAAATGGTATAAATGTGCACCGCTCATCGTCCCTCGGTTCGACTTTGCCTGCGCTGTCATCAACAACAAGATTTACGTCGCTGGAGGGAAATGCCAGCTCTGCACAGCTACTGGAATGGCGTCTTCAGAAGTATACGATCCAGCACTGGACGAGTGGCAATCGCTACCAGATATGAGTACTTCACGACATAAGTGTGTCGGGGTGACATGGCAGGGAAAATTTCACGTCATCGGCGGATTCGCCGGAAACAACGATTACATCGGCAATATGGAGAGAAGTTCTGCTGAAGTGTACGACGGCGAAGAATCCCGTTGGAATTTGATAATTGGAATGTGGCAGCTGGACATTCCACCGTATCAGATCGTCGCCGTCGATGATAAGTTGTTCAGCTCCGGCGATTGCTTAAATTCATGGAAAGGACAGATTGAAGCATATGATTGGAATTTGAATATTTGGAATGAGGTGGAAGGATCTCAATTTGAGGCTCTGTCAGCAACGAAATTCGTCACGATGGCGCCAGCTGGAGCTGACTTGTACTTCCTTGCAGGACGTAAGATGCCAAATCATCCTTCTAGGATGACGTCGGTTGTCCACGTGTTTGATACGTTGGCAAATGGTGACGCATGGAGGAGTATGGAGCCCATTGAAGAGGAGGGCGAAAAGGAGCTTTGCAGCCATTGCTGCGTGGTAATTATAAAATAATATATTTAGAAAATAAAACAAAGACGTATGGTAAAATCATTATTTATCTTTGTACTCAATTTTTTACATTAAATTTTAAATTTCATC